TCAGATATGATTTGTATTTTCAGTCATTTTAGTTTATTTTTGGCTTTTAATTTGAATTAGTTTGTCCTTCCCTTCCTTTGCTTGTTTTTTACTTACATTTTTTGTTTCTTCTTCATGAAATATTTTGAGTATATTTTGTAATGCAGTCTTTCTAGTCTTCATGGCCAGAATGGATATTTTAATATCTTAATATCTATCTTAACCTGAAACAGAAATTCAAACCTGAAGCTGAGTTTGGAAACCCTAGTAGACATAATACCCCAAACCACATGATCATTATGAGAGTGGACCAGGGATGACAGCCTCACATTTTAGGGAGAGGACCCTCAGAGTCACTGGAAATGCATAGGAGGTGTCAGTAACCACTCACCCCAGAGGAGAGACATTACAATATGTGGAATAGGATTGAACTAATTTGAACATAGTTTTTTTTAAAAAATGAAAATATGGGTATAGTCCACATGACTGGGAGGTGTGAGATCCTCACATGAGTGTGTCCAGGGACTTGAGAAAAGTTTTGAGTTTGACATTCCCACAGTTTCTATTATCCAGCAGAGAATAAAGTAAAAGTAAGAGACAGGTGACATGTTCCACTGGAGAAGCCACAGTTCTACATTCCCAAGTGGCATCTTGTCACCTTCTTCAGATGCTAAAATTAAAGGCCTACAGAGAGGTGAGTTATAGACGGCCTTTCCTTAAAATGGTGCAGGATCAGCTCAGGTCTCTGGACTCCCCATGCTACTTGCCCAGGTAAGTGCTTTTCTATTCCTAAGATGCAGCACCAGTGTGTGAGTGGGCTTCTGTGATCGTGATGAAGAATTAAAATAGTCAAATTGTATGTTAGGTTATTTGGTAGTTCTGAATTATGTCCTCAGCTCTACCAACACTCAAAAGCTCAGAGGACTGTTTTCTCTAGACTGCAAAGGGAAATTCTCTTCTTACTACAGTTAGCCCTTTACTTTGGTGACTCATGAATATTGTTAGTTTTTTCATAAGAAATTATCATCTCAAGTAAATCATTTTAGGTCTCATCTATTTCTCAGATGGCAATGAGTTCAATGAATGGCTCTATTAGATCTCAAAGTTCATATTATTGAGTTGACTTGCTATTTTCTGCTTCAGCCTTACTACTTCAAAGTAATATCCACCAAGAAGGAGAATTTTATTTTACATGCTTGATTTTCATTCTGTTGTCTCCATAAATCAGTTCAAAATAGTTTTTGATATTTCCTAGACATAATTGTTGTACTTTTGTGAGGTAAAAACTGAGACAAAATACATCAGCATAAGACAATGCTATTTGATGTTTTGTAGGAATGTGAGGCTCAACTCTCTGCATAAGTCAATGATCCGAACAGAGAACATCATTGCATTCTGATTAATTGAAAAGTACTTCAGTGTGTATAATTTTCTTTCTCATTATCTCAGGTAGTAAAAGTAAATGCTGAAAGAAATATTTTGAACTCATTTATGGAGACAAGAGAATGAAAGTCAAGAGTGTATAATAAAATTCTCTTCCTTGGTGAATATTGCTATGAACTAGTAAGGCTGAAGCACAAAATAGCAAGACAACTTAGTGATATGAACTTTGAGTTCTGATAGAGCCATATGTTACACTCACTGCTGTCTGAGAAATAGATTGGAACCTGAAATGATTTACTTGAGATAATTTCTTCTTATTAAAAAATTAACAATATTCACGAGTCCCCAAAGTAAAGGGCTAAATCTAGTTGCAGGGGGTTCAAGCTGGAGCAGGGACCAGTGGCTGCATTTGCTTACTGTTAAAACCAAGTGGTAAGAGTAGCATCAGACCACCACTTCCTGGCTGGACATCAGGGAGAATGGGGATGTTAGTGGAGAAGTCATGTTGAACTTTAGCCCTTTCTGTAGCTAATGCACATCACTAAATGAAAACATGCATTCCAGTGGTGACACGACACGTGTGACTGTGTTCGCCTTGCACCTGAGAAAACAGATATGTTCCCCCTCCCTGCAGCCTGTGTTTCTCCACACACAGTTATGGTAGCCCAAGATGGTGTTGGGCTCTACCAAGAGCCTCCTCCTCATCCACTGCTGTCCTTGCCAATGGCTGGGCTGCTCCAAGTTTGTTATTGATCACTAATGTCTGGCCCTATTGTTGAGATACATAGATAGATAGACAGATAAAAATTGTCTACAATTTGGATGGTGACAGGATGCAAAATGTTTAAGTGAAAGCTTCTCTGGTCAGGGCAGGAGAGTAGTCATCACAGTGCTACCTCTTCCACAAAGGGACCTCACTCCATCAGCTCTAAATTTTATCCAGGGATGATTTCTTAAGGAAACAAACCTCCATTCACACCTTTTTCTCCACTTTTGTTAATCCTCTATCTGCCCATTTAAGATTTTCTTGTTCCTCCCATGTTGAGCTCTTCAGATGAGACCTGTTTCTCAACTCCTGTTCCACATTATCTTTCTCTGATGTATCTCATTGTGTTCAGACCTCCAGTCTGAGGACGGCTTATTTCCTCCAGGGTTCAAGTCATGACCTGGGGCTCAGCACATCAGCGCAGCCAGGAGCTGCTGCAGCCCCTCTCTCCCCAGAGCTCTGTTTGAGGAGGGCATCCTGGGCCATCCTGTTGAGGGACAGACCCTGTGTCTATGCCCCGATTTCCTAGACTATGTGGTCCTGGCAGCTGTGAGTGGGGTGAGGCACAGCTGGGAGTGAACAGGCTCAGAGGATTCTTTTTAACTTGCTTTTATGAAATGTCCACATTTTCTGAATGTTTTCTAATAAAACTGATGAATTAGCACAAAAGTAGCAACATTGCATTCTTTAAAAAACATCTACCTGTAAACCATGGAAGGCACTGTGGGTCTCAATGATACACATGTGTGTGACCTGCACAGTGTGCAGACGGCCAGCTGCTTCTCTGCCTGCTGTGTCCTGGTGCTGCAGGGAGCTAATGCCTGTGACAGGTGACCCGTGACAGCATCTGACACTGCCACTTCTTTCAACAGCATTGAGGGACAGGAAATAAGGTTTACAGCTCTAACTAGAAAGTTTCTCCTATAGAAAAAAGTTTTCCACTGGCTTTCAGGTAAAGCTCCTCTGAAACACAATTCCCTTCCCTCCTCAATCTGTCCCTACCTCCCATGACAGTGTCGGTAGGGCTGTGTCCCCTGGGCCATGCTGAAACCCAGTCCTGTGCCCTCCATCCACAGAGGACTCCGATACGCTATTCTTCCTGATATTCTGATGCTGTACATTTTATTTTCTTAAACCAAATTAAAGAAAATTTGTATTTCATAACATGATAGAAGGTAATTCCAGTTATTTCATTTTCTGTGATTTTTAAAAGGCATCTTCAAATGTTATATATCCAGTTTATGTTGTCTTAAGGGACTTTGGGAATCAAAATGTCAGGGTATGTCTTATAATTTTCTTCAAATACACATCCAGAAATAGGCATTTCTATAATTAGCTACACAGAAGTCAGAGAAACCATGTAGCACTGTGTCTACTAATAACCATCTGTGATTTTTAAAATGTGGAGACTCCTAGACCACTATATTAGCATTTTTTCTTTTGTTTTCTTGAGCATACAGAGGGAGAAAATCGTATTTCACTGAAGATCTGAATGGAGAATATATATATATTTATATACACACTTTTTAAAATAATTTAATAATTTGGAAGAGCTGTAATTCTCTAAAATGACTACTTGATTTTCATTTTAGACAATGGCACTCCCTCAAAGATTTCAAAGAAATTATTTAACTAGTCTTGAAAGACTTAAATTGTCTGAACCCTTTGAAATTTTTGCTCACCCTTAAACTGATTTTTATACAACTATAATTTTCTAGGTAGAAGTGAAAATAACTTATACTCTGGTCCCTTCTTTTTCAGATGATAAAATGTGGCAAGATGTTATAAGTCTCAGTGTAAACATTAAAACTTAAATAAAATAAATACCTTTTCTCTTAGGAAAATATTTCATAGGGATGTCATTACCAAATTGTATGGTATAATTTTCCTCTCCCTTTTCTAGAGAAATATCATTTCTATCTAAGAGAAGACTTGAAAGCTTGCTCTCTATGGAAACTACACTCTCAGCATGAGGTTGGATTCCTGTCTCCTAATTAAAACACTGAAAATTATCACCCCAAATGTAACTGACATTGTGCAGGAGGTAGTGGCACATACCTGTAATTTTGGGAGCCTGAGACAGGAGGATTATTGATTCAAGGCTGGCCTCAGCAACATAGCAAAGCCCTAAGCAACTTAGTGAGACCCTAACTCAAAATAACAAAGTAAAAAAGACTGGAATGTGGCTCAGTGGATAAGCATCCTTTGGTGCAATCCCCGGTACAAAAGAAAGTATTTAAATTGTGATTATTTTTCACCCTTTTTCCATGTGCCATAGAATGGACAGAAAAGAAATTTTAGAATATGATCATGCTAATAACTGATGGTTCCACTCACTTAGGTGTGGTTTTCTGGTATAATTAAATATATACAAAATAATATAAGTGGTTAAGCAACCTTGGGTTCAATCTCTGGTACCAAAACATATATATTAATCAATAAATGCAAGAAGTCTGATTGCAGAGCCAACATTTTGATATCTATTCTGTAAGCTGGTGATGAACGACCCAGACACTGGAGGTACAGAGCTGAACGAGGCTGTCCCCTTGACACCATTTCCTTGAGAGTTCTCTGTGGACGTCCCTGCAGTCTGCTGCACTAGAGTCCCCTTCAAATGCCACATACTCAGCTTTTGGTCAGGTGGCTGCACGTTCCCAGGCAGATCAATGGTGGTCCTGGCCATGAAATCACAGAGACCCACGGAAGATGCTGTGCCTGAGCACTGAGAGGACTGAGGAGAGGTGTCAAGGGGACCCCCATGTTTTGAAGTGGGGAGTCTTGGGGATCAGGATGTTGAAGCTGGTGATGATAGCGAGGAGCAGTTGACCTTCCTTTTACTCTAAGGCACTGACCATCTGCTTCTTCTCCCCAGGGAATAAGAAAGATGACCCAAAGCAGCACACTTTACATTTTTTTTTTTTTAGCTATAAGAAATGCCTTTTGTCTCCAAATTGTCATCAGGATCACAGCCAACGTCTTCCTGCTCCTCTTCCACATCCTCACTTTCCTTCTCCAGTGCAGGACCAGGCCCACGGACATGGCCATTGCTCACCTGGCCCTGATTCATCTGCTGATGCTCATAATCAGGGTGCACCTGGACCTGGGCATTTTGGGGGTTCTGGACTTTTGGAACAACTTCACATGTAAAGCCATCTTCTACTTGTACAGGCTGATGAGGAGCCTGTCTGTCACCACCACCAGCCTGCTGAGTGTCCTGCAGGCCACCACCCTCAACCACAGAAGTTCCTTTCTGAACAAGTCCAAGCACATGTCACCACAATGCAGTCTGTGGACCTTGCTCACGCTCTGGGTGTTCAACATGTTCTTCACTGTCCGCATCTTGGTCACCATGGAAGGTCCCTCCAATGACACAGCAGCTTTCAGGTTTGTCTCTGAATCCTGCACTGTAACCCCCACAGGTCACCATTTCAGGACCTTCTTTTCCGTGACAGGAATACTCCGGGACATTTTCCTTCTCGGGCTCATGGCCGTCTCCAGTGGGTATATGGTGGCCCTCCTGTGCAGGCATAAGAGGCAGTGCCAGCACCTCCACAGCACCAGCCTGTCCCCAAAAGCTTCCCCAGAAGTGAGGGCCATCAGGACCATCCTGCTGCTCATGGGACTCTTTGCGCTCATGTACATTGTGGACTGTGTGTTCGGGACCGATGCACAGCGAGGATCCCACTCACCTGGTGGTCCAGATGCTGGTGGGCAATGGCTATGCTACCCTCAGTGCCTTGTTGCTGATCTGTGCTGAAAAATGAATAATCAATTTCTTCCAATCTACACTGGGGAAGGAGAGGAAATGTTTACACAATGCCAGATAACCCCTTCTTTTCTCACCTTCCACTTTACTTCTGAATTTCCACAAATGGGTTTGGGAGACTGAGGCAGGAGGATTGCATGTTGGAGGCCAGCCTCAGCAACTTAGGAAGGCCCAAAGCAACTCAGTGAGACCCTGTCTCTAAATAAAATATAAAAAGGGATGGAGAAAGGGCTCCGTGGTAAAGTGGCTCTGGATTCAATCCCTGGTATGAAAATTTTAAAAAAGACTAATTCACTGATTTAGTATGCATAATCTTACTATGGATCACCAAAGCAGATATCATTCACTGTCCACATTACACAAAGTGTGCTCACCCTTGGATGGAAAAATTCATGTTGTAAGAACTACTTTGCTTCATCATAGCAAGAGAAAAATATACATAAGTACAACTCTGTGTGCCTGAATATAATTAGTGTTTTGATTCTTTCTTTCATTAGAGAAAAAAACATCAATTAAGATCATCAATTCCCTCAATGTTAACTCCACACGTTTTTCAAATCACAATTGTCCCCTTTTCCTCCACGTATTTCTTTTCATTCACATTTTCATATATTAATTTTTTCAATATTATTTTATTTGCCTCTGAATGACAAGCCCATAGTGAGTGTAGGTAATCAGGAATCAGAGTACAGGAGAGAGCTCAGGTGGAAAACAGATCTCATTTACATCCCAGTTCTTTTTCTGTGGGCCTTGCAACCTCGAACTAGTGGCCTCTTTCAGCCTCATTGGAAGGCTTCAGAGATTAGCCTGGTTCCCGCACTAGGATGATATGCAAATGTATGAAGCATGCCATGGGGAAAAATTAGAGTAACAGCTACCTTCTGTGTGCACACACATTACATGTATATATTAACTCTTAGTAGCCATAGTGAGGCTCTGAAGGTATTAGTATTATTGTCCCCTCATTACATGAAGGAAACAAAGACTCAGATCAATGAAGTCAGTGAATTGCAGAGGAAATACGTGGAGAAAATCATGATTTGAGTGACAGTTAGGCCGCAGGTCTTGGGCAATAGCACTTAGCCAATGGTATTTCTGACAGAACAGTGACGTCATGTTAAAGTGGCACACAGGCATCATAGCAATTGCTACAGACAGCTGGGGATTGGAATGCCAACCTCCGTCCAGCATCTGTCTAGCTTAGAAATTCAGCTGAATGCCAGGTGGCCATGTGTTTTGACCTAGGGTGATAGAGCATTAACCAAAGAATTCAGGATGCTGAATTGAACCCCAAAAGGTCAACCCCTGGAGGAGACCCAAGCCATCACCTTCCTTCTGGGGTGTCATGTGGAGATTCTAGCTGCACTTCTGGAGGTGCTGTGGGGACTCTCAAGGACACAGGTCCCAAAGTCAGGAGGAGACTGCTATTTCTACCTACTCCTGAAATGTCTACTTTAACCAAAGAAGAAGGCATTGGGTGGATTTCTTTTTGCCTTCCTCAATATTAGCTACAAATTCTGTATACTAGATGATATTCACATATTGGAGTTTTGTGTTTGTTTGTTTATTTTAGGTGAAATCTTGCTGTGTTATAGAGGCTTGTCTTGAACTCCTGAGCTCAAGTGATCCTCCTGCCTCAGCCTCCTGAGTAGCTGGAAACACAGCTCCACAGTGCTGTGTTCTGCTCAAAGATTCAGATTAGTGCTGAGACTACAATGTTGTCTGTCTTTTTATTGATTTTTTTTTAAAAAATGACAGCAGAATGCTTTACAATTCTTATTACACATATACAGCACAATTTCTCATATCTCTGATTGTATATAATGTATGTAGACTACAATTCGTGTCTTTATACATGGACTTTGGAATAGCAAGGATGGTGGAATGTGGTGTCTGTCTTTTGAGCAACTTATTCTAACTTCAATTCAACAGACTGACACCATCAGGATGTGGGCAAAACTGTCACTATCTATGAAGAAAGAAAGTGTGAGTGTCTGCATCTGGATCTTGTGTGACCTGGACAGTATTTACCCTAGGGATAAGTTGAGATGATTAAAGAAAAAACAGCCACAAATGTCTTCCACAAAGTGTTGGAAATCCTGGGCTGCCCTAAGGAATCAAGCACATGTTTAAAAGTAGCCAGCAAGGTGAACTTGGCGTCTGCAGAAGGGTGTGCCATAGAACCCAATGGAAAGAATCTTGCATGCCAGTCTTGTGCGCTCTTGGGCAGAGAGCCCACCTGTGTTCACCCTAACACAGCACTGCACCCACCCTGATAGGAGGAGCTCAGGCTAACCATCCATGCAACTGGCTAATTTTGAAAATCCGGAAGGCAAATCAAAAGCTATTGTTAAACTGCCCATGACTGGACCTTACACCCCAATGAAGGCTGAATCTTGTGTTCTGATAATGGGCCCCCCCACTTGTATTTCACATAAGCCATACATTTGTTTTCTTTTTAGGCCTTTTAGTCTTCTTTTCACTTTGGCTCTTGCACCGTTTCTCAATGCCAGGCACCTGAGCCATATTAACGTTTTAATGTGGTTAAAGGTTCTTTCCTTCTGAGCACTTTGGGTATCCTTCGCGGTGATCAGAAGCACCTGGTGAGGGCCTTTCCATCTCCATTTAAGCTTGTCTCCTTTGCAGGTCTTGACTAAAACCCACTACTAGGGTGGATGTAAATTGTGAACTCCAGAGCAGGGCAGCAGCTCACCATGGTTAAACCAGCCAACAAACCAAAAAATAGATCAAGTGCACCTGTGCAGGAGGTAAGGCACACCTATGCCGCGACCCCTCACCAGCAAGGAGGACACGACACAGGATTCTTCTTTCAGCAATTTATTCAGGCCTTTAATTATGTGTCTCTGGAAGCTTCTCCTACTACTACTACTACTACTACTACTACTGCTACTACTACTACTACTACTACTACTACTACTACTGCTACTACTACTACTACTACTACTACTACTACTGCTACTGCTACTGCTACTGCTACTGCTACTTTTACTTCTACTCCTCCCCTTCACCCGAGCGCCCCAGCCTTGATAAAGCACATCAAGCCCCAATGCACAACTGCCACGTGGATCTTTCTCATAGGGTGTTTTACAGCTACGTGCCAACTCTCCCAAAACAAGGAGTTGTTTATCACAGGCCACGGCGCTTATCAGCGCCATCTTGTAATGGCGACCAAGGTCCGCCTACACGGCTCACCACACACCTGTAGGTCTCAAGTTGACTAAGAAGACACTTGTGACTTGGACAGAGCTTTCTGTCTTATTTATTAGGCATTTCTATGTATTCTGAGTTCCCTCCCAATTTCACTTACGTTGGGAAGGACTGACCCAAATGTACATCTCAAGAAACAATAAAAGGATGATTGTCTCCTCTGTTAAATGCCAATGTACGAATGTGTTTTGGTCATACTCTCCTACCTAAGAGAGTGGCTAAGACCAAGAGATACATGATAACAAGGAGGAAGAGAATCACAACTTAAATGAGAAGAGAAAAGTCAACTAATACCAAAATGACCTTTTCCCTCTCTATGGTTAGAGCCAATTGGGGTTAGTCAGGGATCAATGTTGGGAGTATGTGAGAAGCTTGTGGCTCCCTGGGCTTTTCCTGCCAGGATGAGTGAGGGTCTTGCTGACCACAGGTGGTTTCCTATGGTAGCAACATGGTTGTTTACCTCTCCAGTGACATTTCTTTTTGCAGCATGTGCACTAGTTGACTTCCTGTTTTCTAGGGTCTTTTTAGTCCCTGTGAATGGGTGGTCAGGTGACTTACTGGAGTGGTAGAGAACTTAAAGGATCCCGTTCTTCCCTGAATCTTGCCTGACCTGAGAGGGCAAGAAACAACATGTTGCCCAGTTTTTATGTCCTTAACATTGGTCTCCATGTTTTGGTTTCAAACATCTAGCCAGAAGATCCACCAGTCTTGAAGTAGGAGCACTGGTGTTAAGCTCTGAGTCTGTAATATTATAGTGACCCCTTACGTTTAAGTGTGGTCACTGTTCCTGCTGGAAGTCAGCTTTATATTATGTCTGTAAGTTCTGTAGTGATGTCTTATTGTCTCACCCTTACTCAGGTTGATTTATTATTAGTAGTGATTTTTCCAAACACCCAGAGGTGACAGTTACAAAGTTGTACAGGGAAAATACAAAATGAAGTAAACATGAGCAAAAACAAATTCAGGTTGTATAAGAACTTGCACCAAAAGCATATTTTTTATCCCAAACTTTACTTAGTGATGCATTATATCCCTGTTTGAGATCACAGTCAACTTTACAACAAAAAAAATCTCTTTTGAACATTTTAAGTGTGCTTCATTCTGGCCTGCTTTGGAGCTGTCCTAACATGGAGTAGGGTGAGAGGCAGAGACTTACTTGAGGTTAGCTGGGGCCCTTGACAGATTTTAGGTAAAGTGCTTTATTTCTGAAGGTGATCTTTGCCTTTTACTTAAATATCATTTTATAAAATTCTGACATTTCCTGAATCTATCTGAATATCAGTGAACATAATACAATATTACATCTGAGACAGAAACCAATCAGAAAGACTAAGATGGTTCTTACACAAATCAGACTCTTCTTGTTACCTTTCAAAAATGCATTTAAATTCTAATCCTAGAATAAAGAGTTCCCACAAAATTATATATATATATATATATATATATATATATATATATACACACAATATCTCTCTCTCTCTATATATATATATATATATGTATATATGCACATGTTACTTATGTAAAGTGAAATCATACATATAACATATATTCATATATATACACAGAAATATATATATATATATATATATATTATTGATTGTTCAAAACATTACAAAGCTCCTTACATATCATATTTCATACATTAGATTCAAGTGGGTTATGAACTCCCATTTTTACCCTAAATACAGATTTCAGAATCACATCGGTTACACATCCACATTTTTACATGATGCCATATTAGTGACTGTTATATTCTGCTACCTTTCCTATCCTCTATTATCCCCCCTCCCCTCCCTTCCCTTCTTCTCTCTCTACCCCATCTACTGTAATTCATTTCTCTTCTTGTTTTTTTCCCATTCCCCTCACAATCTCTTATATGTAATTTTATATAACAATGAGGGTCTCATTCCATTTCCATGCAATTAACTTAGATTACCTTTATCCAATTACAAAGTATTCGATGACATAATACCAACCAAATTGATTTTCTCTGTATAAATCTGAAGGTGACGATTGCTACAGACAATTTCATTTTGGAGAATTCCAACTTGATACAAATATTCTAAGCTCCACATTTTAAAAGGCCTGTACACTTGAGCACCATGAGTATATCTTATATACAGAGAAGCCAGTAATGATTCAGGTCACAATTACACAGATGCCCTTATTAATTAAGTTTATTAACTAAGTTTAAATTCTCCCTCTGCCTCTTTTGTGTGAGTATGCGTGTGTG